TATACAGTAATATATTGCATTTATTTCAAGCAATACTCAAGCACTCAGACTGGATTAAAATTTCAACACTGTGTGGTGAGAATAATATCAAAGGAAATGATAAGTGAATAAAAGTTAAATTCTAGAAATGCCTAGTATGAATGACTACTATTATTTCAAAATTTAGTTGCCTGACTGCTAAAACTCCTTCTCAAAAAAAAAAAAAACTTGATCAAACTCGTGTTTCTCATAAATCCTTTCATAAAAAGGATTACATTCATAGTTTACTCTTTAAATGAATCTGGAAGGATTTATGAGAAAAACAAGTTAGTTTATTAATTTAAAAAATAAGCCTATTACATGTTAACATAAATAACATTTTAAATAAAAATTATATCTTCCAAAACAAAAACAAATCTAGTAAGAGTAGCATTTTTTTTACATCTTCCCCCACCCCCAGCCAAAGCTCATAAATGCTTCTGCATTCAATCAAGTTCTGAAAAACTTCCCTATATTAGAGAATGATAGTGGAAGAGGCAAATACTGTTTGTTGGTTTGTTTTTCTTTTCCATTTTTGGGGGGGTGGTGGTGGGAGGGGACAATACTTGGGACTGAACCCAAAGGCACTTTTACCACTGAGCTAGATCCCAGTACTTTTTATTTTTATTTTGAGACAGGGTTTCGCTAAGTTGCCAAGACTGCTATCAAACTTGCAATCCTCCTGCTTCAGACTCTCCAGTCTCTGGAATTATAGGTATGTGTCACCCCCATGGCTAAATACTGTTTTATTATTAATATGAAAAATACTTTTGTATTTTCAAGTCCATTTAAAGGATCTCCAGACAATACTTCAAACTCAGACTCTTGATACCAAACTGCCTACGGTTAAAGGTATTTTCTAGCTATGTTTAAAACCCTCTTACCCCTTTTTACTAGCTATACTCAAACCCTCTCTGACTCATTTCTCACCTTTCAAAACTAGAGATAATAACGGTGCCTACATCACATAGTTATTACACATTTAGAATACTTTTTAATCACAAGGTGTTTGCTGTATTATATAATTAATCTTCATGAAAGTATGTGCTATGAAATAGCTTCTGTTATCCCATCTAACAGATAATAAAGAGGCTGAGTGACCTACACAAGGAAACACAGCTTAAATGATAAACTACACAAAGACACATAGCTTAAGTGATAAAACTCAGATTTGAATTTAATACCTATTGACTGGGGCTGTAGCTCAGTGGTAAACAACTTGCCTACCAAGTACCAGGCCCTAGATCACTCCCAGCACTGTCAAAAAAATAAATAATGAACGCCAACTTTAAAACCTATGGTTGAAAAATGCAATATGTAATATGACCCCAATCTCATGTTCATATTACTCTCCTCAGTTTTCTGTTTTAGACACACTCTCAGTTTCTCTATGTCAAAAACACCTTCACCCCAAGGCATCTGTGAAGGCCTTGAATGGAATGCTATACTTGAAGGCCTGCCTGGAATGCTATATTGCTCCTATTTTCCCCCCAGTACTGGAGACTGAAACCAAGGATGCTTCTACCATGGAGCTATTCTTCTTAAATTTTTTATATATTAAGTCTCTGCAGCCCTTTTCCAACCACTGTATCTAAATAGCAGCCTTTCATCATTTCTCAGTATGTTCTATCATAACACAAGGTTTATTTCTTTCATAGAGTTCCAAATCTTATTAGTCCTTATTACTTATTGACTGTCTGTCTTCCCCCATCAGACTATATTCAAGGGGAAGAGAGTCCATGTCTGTATTGGAAATGCATGCAAAGCTAACAAGCATACTATGGTATCTGGATATATGACAGGTATTTAATTACTTATTTTTGTTGAATTAATGAACCACACTGCTTAAATATTTGGACAAATTACTTAAACTCTCTGGGCTTCGATTTCCTATAGTTAGTTAATTTCTGACTCTAAAATCCTAAAAGTATATTTTACTGACTGTATTTGAAAAGAGTGTAGTAGCGATTACAAAGAAATTTTGTAAACATAAAGTCCTAATCAGGCTTAACATCTTCTAGTATCTAAAAGCAACTATAGAACAGAAGTAAAAATATGCTGTAAACTAAATAGACAATAAAGAAATCTCGAGATCATTTCTTCCACTGTACATTACATTCATCCAGTCACCTGGTATGTGAAACTATAAATGTTTAAAAGCAAGAACTTAAGCTAGTATTCCAGCATGCCCACTTCAAACCAACACTGCCTTATTTCCAGAGTACAGAACAATAGAGAACATTACAGAAAATTATTATCTTTTTGATGACCATGATAATACAACTTTTATTAGCAGACCCTAAATACAACATAATGAATAAAATAAATTGCTAGAATATGACCTGAAGAGGGTCAAGAATTATTTGCCAAAAAGCAAACTCACAAAATTTGTCCAAGTACAATAAGCTCTCTATTACCTACATGGTTTAGGAGTTCTGTCTTACCTAAGTCAACATATATAATTTTTTAAGAACTGTCAGTTTATAGTCAGAATATAAGCTGGCAACACAGCCTAATGGTTAAGAGTATGGATTCTAGCTCCATGGCCTACACATTGTATTTCTCTGGAAAAGTTACTTAACTACTCTGTGGCCTCAAATTCTTCATTTACAAAATGGGGATAATACAAGTACTTACAGCAAAGATTTTAAAAGACTAGGTAATTTAACATATAAGGTCTTAAAACAATGTCTGGCACAACATAAGTCTCCATAGATGTTAGCTACTATTATAACAAAAATAATATCAATACAATTATGTCATTTCTGGACAATTTAGAAACATTTTTCCTGCAGAGGTAAAGTACACAGATTATTCATCCTTTCTTTCAACTAATATTTACTAAACATCAATTATATGCTAGGTTTGAGTAAGATAAAGGATACAACAATGAGCAAAGAATGATTAAATGCTAAAGAATTTTTAGAGAACCAAAATTATTGAATAATATACAATGGAGTTCTACTCAGCTATAAAAAAATGAAATTATGGCATTTGCAGATAAATGGATGAAAATGGAAAATATCATGCTAAGTGAAATAAACCAGACTTAGAAATTCAAAGGTCGAATGTTTTCTCTCACATGAGGAAACTAGAAAAAACATAAAAAGGGAAGGAAGGATAAGATAATATAAATAACCAATCAAACAGAAATTAATAGACAAGTAGAGGATAAAGAATATGGGAAAGGGGAGGAAGAACAGCAGGGAAAGGGAGAAGGAAAGTGGGAGGGATAATGAACTAAAATTGATTTTCATGATTATATGAGTTTATGGTGATGAACTCAATTATTATGTATAATTATTAAGCTTTAATAAAAAATTATTATTGGGGGGGCTAGGGTTGTGGCTCAGTGGTAGAGTGCTTGTCCAGCATGTGTGAAGCACTGGATTCAATCCTTAGCATCATATATAAATAAATAAAAGCCCATCAACAATTAAAAATTTTTTAAAAAAATTATTATTAGATAAATCAAGCTACATTATTATCAGGACAACATGTAGAATAGCCAATGACAATTTCATTACTGCAAACTTTCAAACCTGGTCAACACTTATGAAGATATGTCTAAGTATTTGTCTGAAATTTAAAATTAAGACATGCTATTATTGTAAAAACCAAATTCCCTAAGGAAAAACTTAAAGCTGTCCTTGTTTTGTCTGGTGCAGAAGTTAACAGCCAGCTATGGATATTTAAAATAATTAAAATGAAATAAAATTTAAATATTTTCCTCCAATCTGGGGAGAGAAGAGAGTGGTACACATTCTGTACCCTGGATTGCTGACAAGAAGACCCATCTGGTTTCACTTTATGAAATCTGCCCTATATCCATATACCATTATACTAGATATAATCTAGAATTTCTGAGAAACTAAACCTGGAGATCATTTCTACTCACCTATTGTAGGTTCTCCATATGTACGCAAAATTCTGAAATGGGATCAGTTACACTTAGAAAAACATCCCAGACAATTTCATTATTCCTAATGAGGTAGGGAGATGGTGAAGAAATACCACTGCACAGAGAGGGCTCAATGAAGCTGGATTTGCATTCTCCTCACCTGCCACAGGTTCTATATTCTAAATCCTTTCTCAAGTAAGTCTTTGCAACCTTCACATCCAAGACTGCATTATGGATCTGTAAGATTGATGATGGCAAATTCATGCCTGCTTCCGGTGAAAGTTTTAGCTGGCATAGGTGAGAACAGTGTTAGTCTAACCTGACCTACAGCCATTACTAAGACTTCATAAGACATTTCAGTGAGATCAGCTTTTGATCATCTCACACCTAGCATGCTGAGTTTGAGAGTAACTCTATGTACACTGCCTTTGGGAGTCCTCTTGCTTCCCAACTCCACTTAGAATCTTGTTTGTGTGAGGCTTCCAGCAACCTTGCCCTGTCAGCCACTTCTGAATCCTCACCAAGTGTCTTTCTGGGTGGATTCAACTAGATAATTTTGCTTTTTCACACTCCTTTCCTTCATTTGTCTTGTCATCAGTTTTCTCTGAAAACAGTAAATTTGTTGGGTTTTATGCAGAACTTTGGGTTAGAGCCACAATGAATTTGGGGAATGAGTATTTTCTCTTGGTTTTGTATATTTTTTACATTAATAACAAATATCAGAAAAAGCAGCAGCTAATTTTTTTTTAATGTAGCATTAGCTAAATTTCGAACAGCCAGAAGCCACAGGTGGCTAGAGTCTCTAATTTCAAACAGTAGAGATACTGAACACAGCATTATCACAAAAATTCTACTGGATAGCACTGATTTAGATGTAGCTAGACAATGTAATTTTGTTGACTAAATTCAATAACTCAAATTCAGCTACTACTAAAAGAGTAATACTTTAAAAAATAGAATTCAAAGGCAATAATTAAGATCTGATCATTTCAGGTAAAGATTGTATAATAAACATAAGTTATTCTATACATCTAACTATAAGGGAAATGTATTCTTTAAAAAGTTAAAGTCCTAACTTTACCTGTGTTAAAATCAGTTTTCTAAAGGAGGAGGTGGCACAGGAATGCAGCAGAGTTCAAGTGTGGAATTCATTTGTTGAGAGTTAAATATTTCCCAAACCTATAAAAAAAAAATGAAAAAATGTGAAATATTAAGATAATATTCTCAAGAATATAGCACAAAGAAAGAACAGTTTTAATGAGATATTTATAATACAGGTCATCTAATTTTTTAAAATATGGATTAAAAAAAATTTATAATAATGAGTATACCTATGTATCTTTACCAAACCTAATAAAAATGATTTTGGAGAAAGTATGAATTTTAGTTTGAAAATTTGTCTTTAAGAACTTGGGTAGGTAGAGGTCCTAGGCTGGATTTATAGTACCCACCCACCCCACTATTTTTTTTTTTCTTAAAAGAATGCTGTATAGGGGCTGGACTGTGGCTCAGCCGTAGAATGCTCGCCTAGCATGTGCAAGGCCCTGGGTTCGATCCTCAGCACCACATAAAATAATAAAATACATTAAATAAAGTTTTAAAAAAGTATGCTGTATAAAACCAAACTTAAATAAGTATCAAGGGGTACAAATTAATTTTGAATCAGTTTCACAACTAAAAAACTTATAATTTTTTTTTACACAGAAAGTGCATTATTTGAATTTTTAGCATAAAATCATAAAGCGTTTTGGTCAGAGAGAACCACTTTAAAATGGCTAACAATAGAGACTTCTTAGAAAGTAAGAAGTCTCTTTTCATATATTTGCTGACCACATTACACTGCATTTCTTCTTTTAAAGTGTATCCCAATTTTAAAATTTAAAACATTATATGTACGTGACATAGATCCTGGCCAAATGTATTTTTTTAACACAAAGAAAATACAACAAAATTGTCTTAGAGATAAATTACATTGTCCTTATAAAGTCTTCAGTATTCTTTAGACTGAAGAGATATCTGGAACCCCTAACTCTAACCATAGTAATGACTTTTAATCTCGTATATACTGGGCCTTCACATGAAATTTTTATTTTATGAGTAGATTCTGCATGGCAGGGAAGGGAACTAACATACCGTCTCTGGAAAGACAAAAAAAAGAGACTGGTAATATTTTTTTGGAAGGCACATCTGATTTTAAGACAACAGGGTGGGTATAAGACTCTGATCATCTTTTGTACCCTGAAAATTTTGAACCACAAAGACAACTGCCAGATTTTGAAGCAGTGTGTGTGTAGAAATACTGAAGAGCTAAGTGGAGAACCTCTATAGAGAAAGATCTCCCATAATATTTTAAGACTAAGAATATGGATATTCATTAGGTTCTCAATTAAGAAAGCAAAAGGGGAAAATAAGGGCAAATGAGAGAGAGAATGAGTTTTTTTAAACTTTTAACATAACACTAAAGCACCTTAATCTCTGGGTGATTGGAGGTAATTAGCCCCTCACCAGCTTGTGTAACAGTAAAGTGTAAATGGCCTCTATAATTCTTTCAGATACAAAATCTGGCACACAATTTAAAAAAAAACAATAAGAATGCAAAGGAACAATAATATATGACCAATAATTAAGAAAAAAAACTAAAGAGAATCAGACCCAATAATAAAGTTGAAATATATGGCAATTATTTAAAATAATTCTAACATAATGGGGAAAACAGATAAAATTGATGAAAGATGGAGCAGTTCATCCAATGAATTAGGATCTAATTTTTTTTTTTAATCAGGGATCTCACTAGATAGTCCAGGCTGCCCTTGAACTTGCAATCTTTCTGCCTCTCAATTACATGTGCATGCCACCATCCCTAGCTCCCAACAGACATTCTAGAACTGAAAAATTCAATCTATATAATTAAGAACTCAATATTTTTGGTTTTATAGCAAAAATGGACACAATAGAATATAGGATTAGTTAACCTAAGACAAGTTAATACACAATGCCCAAACCAAAGTATAAAGAGAAATGACTAGAAGAGAAGGGAATGAAAAGGCAGGGAAAAAGACAAAAGGTTTAAGAGAAAGGTGATACAGGCTCAAAATGTATGTATACACACACACACACACACACACACACACCAAATAGAAGCCTTAAACGATAGCACAAAGAGATAAAAGCAATATTCAAAAAAAAGAATAGCTAAGAATTTTCCAAAACTGATAAAGGAAATCAGTCTGGAGACTGATAATGCTCTACTAACTCCAAGCAAGACATATTAAAAGAAAACTATACCTAGGACATCAAACTATGAAAGGAAGAGAGGAAGAGGAAGAAAAAAAGTCATAATAACTGCCAATCTAAAATATTATACCTAACAAAAATATCCTTCAAAATTAAGGTAAAATAAAAATGCTTACAAACAAAAAGGGGAAAATTTCTCACCAGTAAGCTTATATTACAAGAAAACTAAGTGGAATTATTCAGACAGAAGAAAACCATCCTAGAAGGAGAACACGGAAACACAGAAAGGAATAACAATGCAGAGTAACTGAATTGCCTTGTAAGGTTTAAAGGTTCTAAGATTTTAGCAGTAATGCGACAGTGTTAAAAATCATACTTTGTATTATACATGCAATAAATTAAAAATAAATGTTATAATTTTTAGGGTAATCATTAAAATTATAATATATAACAATTCAGAAAATGTAATATTTATGTAATCTAAAAGCATGCAAAAAAAAAAAGAAGAAGAAGAAAGAAAACAAACCAGATAAGCCAAACAGAAAACATATTATACATACAAACCCAACATATCAATAATTGTATTACAGTCTATGGAAAAAAAATACTTCAAGTAAAAGTCTAAGTTTGCCAAACTGGATTAAACAAAAAAGAATCATGGGGCTGGGGTTGTGGCTCAGCGGTAGAACGCTGGCCTCGCAGACGTGAGACCCTGGGTTTGATCCTCAGCACCACATAAAAATAAATAAGTGAAATAAAGGTATTGTGTCCAACTACAACTAAAAAATAATGTTTTAAAAGAATCATATCTCTTAAAGAGATACACTTTAAATATGTGCCCAGAAAGATTCAAGTAGAGGATAGGGAAAAATACACCATACCACGATAGCACACTAACCAAAAGAAAACTGATGTACTCTGGTAATTTCAGTTAAAGATTTAGAATTTAAGACAAGAATCATTGCTAAAGATGAAAGAAATATTACATAATAATAAAGGGATCAATCCCCAGGAAAATACCACAATCACAAATTTTTTATACCCCCATAATAACCTCAAAATACCTGAAGCTAAAATTTGCAAGCTTTAAAGGAGAAACAGACAAAGCCACAATCACAGTTGGAGACCTTAACACACCTCTCAATAGTTGACAGAAAAAGCATTAAAATCTAAACAGTGCAATAACAAACTTGACCTAAATGACCAATACAGAAAATCATACCCAGCAACAACAAAAATTATGATCTTTTTCAAGAACGCATGAAACTTACCCAAACTGACCACATACTGGGCTACAAGGAATCTTCAACACACTTCAAAAAAAAAAAAAAGATGATGCCATTCAGAGTATACTCCTTAACCACAACAGAAATTAGAAATCATTAATAACAATAACAATAAATAAAAACCTGGAAAAACACCAACTACCTGGAAACATAAAATTACATTTCTAAATAATATTTGGATTGAAGAAATCAAAGCATAAATTACAAACTAGGTTAAACTGAATACTACTGAATATACATTAAAACTTATGGTGTAGTTATAGCCTGAATTGTATATATAGACAGTCCTTGATTTTCAAGCAGCAACACAGAACAGCAAGTGACACAGAAAACAAGCATACAGTAGAAAAAAAATCAATGTAGTCAAAGTTGGTTCTTTGAAAAGATTAATATAATAAAATTGATAAACCTTTAGCCAAACTGATTAAGGAAAAAGAGAACACAAATTACTACAGAATTTTTAGACATCAAAAAAATATGAAATTTTATGCCAATAAATGTAACAGCATAAAATAGACCATTCCTTGAAAAATATAAATCACCAACACTGAAAGAAATAGACTGCTCAAATAGCCCCAAAGGTATTAAAGAAATGGAATCTGCTATTAAAGTTTTGCATAAAGAAAATCTCAGATGCAGATAGTTTCACAGGGAATTCTTTAAAACAATTAAGAAGAAACATAACTCTGTTACTCCTTCTAGAGAACAGAAAATAACAGAACACTTCTTAACTTTTTTTAAGAACCAGTACAAAAATGATACCAAAACTGATTTTATAAAGAAGAAAATCATGGACTGATCTAATAAACACAGATGTAAAAATATCAATGTACTGGTGAATAAAATTTAACATTATATATAAAAATAACATATATAGAAAGGAATTTATTCCAGACATTTAAGAGTAGTGTAGAAGAAAATTCATATGATTATCCAAATATGTATAAAAATAGCCTGTGACAAAATTCAATATTCATTCATGATAAAATCTATTGGAAAATTCACAAAGAATTTTGGATAAAAAGAAAAAAAGCCCACAGGAAGCATCACAGTCAATGGTAAATGATTAAAAACTTACCCTTTTCAAGTGGAAAACAAGTCATAGATGATCATTATCATCATTTCTATTCAACATTTTACTGGAGGGTTTAGCTAGTACAGTAAAACAAGAGAAACAAAAAGAATAAGGACTGGAAAGGTAGAAACAACATTATTCATAGATGATATGATTATGTCCTAAGAGAGTCCAAAAGATTCCTCAGTCTATTAGAATTAATAAGTAAATGTATATTTCTGGCTAGAAGATTAATATTAAAAAGCCAATCATACTTCTATAAACCAGCCATGGATTTTTAAAATATAAAGGACAAAAGAATTTTTTAAAACTAGGAATAAATCTAACAAAATTTGATTTATTTATCTCTAACTAAAGTATAAAAAAGGGCTGGGAATGTGGCTCAGTGGTTAAGTGGCCCTGGATTCAATCACCTGTACCAACAACAACAACAACAACAAAAAAAGTTCCTAGACTGCAACATAAAGAAGGGAAATGCACATGAGTAAAGGAGGCAGAACCAAAAGTCCAAGTAGACTAAAGTGTTAGATAAAATAATGGAGAAACACAGAAAAAAAGAACACTAGAGATCTACAGAAGATCCCCTGATCAATACTTTTGAGTAAGGAAACTACCTGAATATGGAACAAGAAGCACCTAAAAGTGGATATAGCAATGTCACAGAATTCACATAGGGCCATACATAAATAGTGCCTCTTCTCACCAATCAGATTAAGGATTGGTATAAGTAAAGGGTCCTCCCTAATAAAGGGGGAATTAAAATTAGCCCTACACTGAGCACAGATTCAGTACTGTCTAGTAAATCTTAAAATCAAACCCTGAAGAAAATCAAATTGTTTTCAAACAACTGAAAAAGAAAATAGACTTCAAAAATATTTTTAGGAGTACAAAAATATCCAAAACACCATAAGATAAAATTCATAGTATCACATGCTTAATAACAAAATTACCAGGAATAGAAACAACCAGCCAAACAAGATCCATAATAAAGAAAAAAAAATCAGCCAATCAAAATTGACACAGATGTTAGAATTCTCAGATAAAAATATTTGAACAGTAATTATAACTATATTGTTCAAAACATGACTCACAGAAGGTGTTAACAAAAATTTTTAAAAGACAACCTAATCTTTGAGGCAAGGATTGTGGCTCAGTGGTAGAGCACTTGCCTCGTACACGTGACGAACTGGGTTAAGTCCTCAGCATTACATAAAAATAAATAAATAAAGATATTGTACCCATCTAAAACTAATCAAAACTACATTATAAAAATAATAATTTGTGAAATTTAAAAATGAGAATAACATTAGACATTGAATTAAAAAAATCAGTGAACTTGAAGACAAAGCAACAAAAAATAATCAAAATGAGACAGAAATTTAAATAACCTGTTATTTTTCAATAGTACCCATCTTTGACATGAAGAAGAGCCCCAGTGCCAACTCTTAAAATCCCTGGTAATCCTGGCTTAGATTTATGAGAAAATGTGTCCCCCCAAACAAAAGAATCAATATCAGATAGCTAAACCTATAGTTAGGGTAAGGAGAATTTTCTGACCCACTGGTTTTAACACTGAAATTTTTTCTCCTTCTCAGAGAAAACGGAAGGAATACAGATTTAGGTCCCACTAATGTGTATATATATTTTTTCCTTTTATCTACAATCAGTATTAGCAACCAATAACCCAAAGAAAATATTGCAGTGCTATCAATTAGTGATTACATTGCATAATGTCTAGCACAGCATTTCTAATTCCTTCCATTTTAACCACAAATAAGGAAGCACTGCATAGTCTGATATCTGAAAACCTTCTAAGATGATAATGTAGTATTAGTATAAGACACCACTTTCTCAGTGGTGCACACCTGTAATTCTGGAGGCTCACAAGGCTGAGGCAGGAGACTTCAAAGCCAGCCTCAGTAACTTAATAAGGCCCTGTCTCAAAACAAAAATATTAAAAAGGGTGGGTGGCTGGGGCTCAGTGGTTAAGCACCCCTGGGTTTATTTTGAAAAACAAAATAAAAACACCTTTTCTTAATTAATCAACTCAAAGCACGAGACTGATAAAACTAGGAGAGAAGAGATTACCAAAACTTTAGCAAGTTATAATCTCTCTGCATTACTGTGATGATCTGTTTTTTCCCAATTAATTCCCAAGAAATTATGTTTTACTACACAAAACCAGTAAAATATGTATATATCAAAAATGTGGCTTTTCACTTTTAAAATTTTCTAACAAAAGTCTCAGAACTTAAAAACCAGAAGTATACCTCCATTCAACTTAGAATAAGGCCAAGAGAAAAGTAAATGCTATGATATCCTGTGTGTGATTTAACAAATTTATGTTGGCTTTTCAAAACAAATCACTGAGCCATGAAATAATAGGACCCTATGGATACCAAAATATGGTTCTTTACCTAAGACGGCATCATATTTGCATACAACCTAAATTCATTCTCTCATGTACTTTAAATAATTTTAGTTTCCTTAATACAGTGCAAATGCTATGTAAATAGTTGTTATACTCTATTTATTTAGATAATAATGGCAAGAACTTCTAAATATGTTCAGTACAGATGCATTTTTTTTCTCTCCTAAGTATTTTGGATCTGTGGTTGGCTGAATCCATGATTGCAGAATCCACAGATATGAAGAATTTATTATAGTGAAATAAGTTAAAAGTGTTCCTTAAACCTGGGAAATAAGGGCGTATGATAATGTCCCTGAAACTCTGTGAGATGTATTTATAAAAGTGTATATTTTTCTAGATCCACAGTTTTTTAAAAAATATTTTTCTCGGATGTTGATGGACCTTTATTTCATTCATTTATTTATATGTGGTGCTGAGAATTGAAGCCAGTGCCTCACAAATGGTAGGCAAGTACCCTACCACTGAGCCACAACCCCAGCCCTAGATCCACAGTTTTTATCAAATCTTGATGGAATGTAACCCCCAAAAGATGAAGAAATACCTTTCCAGGCAAACCAAATGAGAAGTTGCTGAAGAACCCAAGAAATAAAAAGAACCATAATATGTAATTTGATCACAGGGGAATAAAAGTATTATAAGCCAGGCATGGTGGTGCACACCTGTAATTACAGTTACCCAGGAGGCTGAGGCAGGAAGATCACAAATTCCAGATCAACCTGGACAACTTAGTGAGATTCAGACTCAAAACAGATTAATTTAAAAAAAAAAAGAAAAGAACTAGGGGATATAGCTAAGTGGTAGAATGCTTACCTAACATGCATGGGGGTCTGGATTCAATCCCCAGTATCATAAATTTTTTTTAAAGAAACATAATTTTTGCAGTTTAAATATATAATTTGCATCTTATGATCATAATCTATCTATATCTTATATATCATAATCTTATAGCTGTTTGTGAAAAGCTGTATTTCACTACTTGTCTTAATTTTTGAGGTCTAGAAACCACAAGTATTTCACCAAAAATATATGCCTCAAGTTACAAGGTACAGGTAAAATAGGGAAATCCTGTTCATTACATAAGCAACATGATTGACTGCAAATTAGATCATGGACATAAATCAGTCAGCAAATGAAATAACTGACCATATTTTCATGGAAATTACAAAATCATATTAAACATACTAATTTTTTAATTAAGCATCTATTCTACCTTATCATAATGCAGATTATTTAACAGTGCTTTTCATTGCTATACTGAAATTAGAATAGAGTCACAAGTTTCTTAGTGGAACATAAACTATGAAAGGGTTATGATAAATCTTTTCCAAAAAATCACAATACCATGATGATTATACATAATTTCATGTCTAACAGACAACCTTTGATTTTCTTGAATAATAAATGTTGTTTATAATCATTCTGCCTTTGTTATTTTTTAAAATATTTTTTCAAATAGTGATGGACCTTTATTCATTTATTTGTATACAGTGCTGAGAATTGAACCCAGTGCCTCACACATGTTAGGCAAGCACTCTACCACTGAGCCACAACCCCAGCCCAGGTCTTTGTTATTAAAAGCAATTCTTCAAACAATAATAACTATGAGCAAATAAAATGGCTGTCATAAGTCACACTAAATTTGGGAGTTATGAAATAAAGGCTAATACATTTTTTAGGGGGCTCAATCCTCAGTGTATAGCTCAATGTTAACAGTGCCTGCCTAATATGCACAAAGCTCTGGGTTCAATACCCAGAACGGAAGGAAAAAAAGGGGGGAGGGGTTCAAAAATAATACATGAGCCTATTCTAAAAGGACATTAAAACTGACCTTTGGGGCTACGGCGGGAGCTGGGACTTAGTAGTAGTGTGCTTGCCTAGAAGGTGTGAGGCACTGGGTTCAATCCCCAGCACCACATAAAAAATAAATTAATAAAGGTATTGTGTCCATCTATAACTAAAAAAAAACCCCACTTGACCATTAATAGACAATTTTCAAAACATTTAATTAACTGAGTCCCTAAATAATACAGGATTGCACCAACATTATAAATCAGCCCATCATCCTTTCCCTGCATGTCCCACACAGGAAGAAGTCAATCTACTAAAGAACAAAATAATGGAAGCAATGATTACCAAAAATCTGGTCCTAGATGTTAATCTAGGTCCTAAATATTAATGTTTTTAAATTATATAGTTTTAGTGATGTCAACTGTCCTTTCCCTTTTTGAATGTTTGCCTGCTTCAGTCACATTGGCTTTCTTACTTTCTCTTGAATATGTCAAATTCATTTTGCCTAAGGCTGTATGTTTCCTTTACCTCTGCTGTCCAGCTGTTCACTTTATTCAGGTTTGGGATAGTCAAAGGACTATAGGGAAAGGTTCAATCTAAAACATTACCTGTCTCACTGTTTACTGCTCTCAATGACATTTACTATTATTTGTTTACTGTTTAGTGGACTAGGGATAAGCATGGCCGGCAATTCGATCCCAGTACTTGTTTATTGTCTATTTTCCCCAACTAGTGCTCTCGATCGATCTCTCTCTCTCTCTCTCTCTCTCTCTCTCTCTCTCTCTCTCTCTCACACACACACACACACACACACACACACACTCCATATGAAAGGGTGCCTTATTCATCACTATCATC